TAAAAGTATCATGTATGCGAATACTGTGTATTTTCTAAAAGAATAATGAATCATACTAAATGTCGGCTTCCATTGAAGAGCGCAAATGAGAAATATCTTAATATTGAAATGATTGTTTTCTCCTTTCAACAGACTTTCTCGGCACATGTGTGAACAATTTGGTCACATTGGGCTCAGGCATCGGACCGGTGATCTACAGTCTTAATAATCCTAATCCATTAACTCATTCGCTCATTTTTTGCAAAACACGCGGCTATATTTTTCAAATCAATCTGATGCTTTCTCGTTGGTTCGTATCATTTGCATGCATTGATCGTTATGTGTTAAGTTCAGATGATGTCCGTCTACGACGATTTGGAAACATTCGAATGGCCTATCGGGTTATGATAGTCATTATTATCTTCTGGTCGATTGTCTGCTCACACAGACTCATATTTTACGAAGTACAAGGCAATGTATGCGGTATTTTAACAAATACTGGAGCAGCAATGTATCATGCTCTCTATGTTATTATTGGTGGATTCATTCTTCCGTCGGCAATTATGATTGTTTGTACTATTCTCATTCAGCGTAATCTCTCTCGCAAACAACGAATAAGAAATCAACTGACAAATACTTCGAGCATTACAGAACGTGAACTCAAAAGACAGTTATTCGATCGACAAATGCTTCGGCTCTTATTCACACAAATAGTTTGTTACATTATACTATCCCTACCTCAAATGATTAATTTGATATACAATACTATTGCAACGACTTTTCCGAGTAAATCAGCCGATGACTTGGCCATTGAAGGATTTGTTGCTTTTCTGGGCGAATTGATGCTCTATATATTTCCTGTTACATCATTCTATTTATATACACTAACGTCACGTACTTTTTGTACTGAATTAATCAAGTCTTTTCGTTTAATACAAAACTTTTGGCAACAACGCCGTGACACCCGAGTCAGCCCGGCAATAGGTCCAATTACCGTCACCCTTCGCGCCAGAAATCAGCAAACAATGGCACGTGGATCCGAAAGTCTAACTGCCTAGCAGATGGAAAACAGTTTGAATGTGGATGGAGATCAAATTCGTGCAAACTCAGTTAATATACAAGACTAAATATAACTATAAACTATTTCACAGTTACAAACTATACATTTTTATATTGTTGCAGCCATTGATCTTATTCTAGAAACTCGTTCGCTTTGTTATTATATAGTGAACATTATTTTTCAATCCTACATTATTTATTGTTTATTATAGCTTTTGTAAACCTGTTAATAAAGTTATTCAAAAAAAAGCAACATTTGTCGCATCAATATTGTCTCTGTCACAGGAGTAAGAAACGAACCAGTCAAGAAGAAATCAACGGATTTTATGTTCCTATTAGCGTCAGTATGAGGTGCGGATGTCTTTGTGAATTTTGGGGGATCTGTGTTGCACTGTAAAGCTTAGGTGAAGTTATTCTATTCCGTCACAGGCACATCCACATCCAGTCCACAGCAATTGTTTGCCTTCGATCAAAATTATGGATAGGAAAAATGTCTGAAAAAAAGAAATTTTTATTGGTTGAAAATTCATCATACAAACAATTCTTATTTTATAAGACTAATACACTAACAAAAAAGAAAAACTTGTTAGCACAGCCTCTTCGGAGTCGCTCATTATTTTTCTTGTTCGTATTCTGTTTTTCTTAATTTAATATTATTTTTATTTTAACCATTGATTTAACTGACAAATAAGCATGTTCTACATATCCATTAATATTCTATATCTGGATAAGGTCAAAAACATCGATATTTATTATTTTTCAAAGTTATAACTTAATCAATTCACGTTTTTTTTTCTGTTGATCATATGATGACTGTGATAGATCAATAATCACTACCCATCATTATGGACATCTTAACAAGAGTTTCGTGAGAATATTGAGTATTGTGCCAGGTCATAACATAGTCGAAGTTAACATTTACTTTTTTTTTATCTCATTCAATTCCTGGCATCACATTGAGGTAATGAAAAAAAGAAAAAAAGCCTATTTGAATCACTATAAATTAAAAAATCGAACTGAAAAAAATATAAAAAACTTTTAGTGGAAATTTTAAATAATAAGACCTTCGCAAATGAAAGAAGATGAATGTGAATAAAATATGACAAAATTTCAAAGCGTTCTATTATTTAAAATGAACAGCTCGAACAAAAAGTAAATTATTTGCGATGTGATAATCAATTTTATATTAAAGTGCGGGAAAAACGAATAAAGTTATGTGAATTCGATGTTTCTTAGAAAAAATCATCTCACACAAAACGAACTGAAGTACACTGCAGCGGCAAAATATGCAATTGATGCTTGCTATCATGATTGTAAGCATCTTCGAATGTGGCAAATACAAGTACACTCAAAAAAACTGTACTGTTCATTGTCATTTGACTGATATATACGCATGCCAGCACCATGACTCGAATGTAACGAGTATCTCATAATGAATGACTGCGTTTTGTATTTCATCTTTTACTATCTGACACGTTTTATTTAAAAACAAAATATGCCACAAAATGTAGCGAAAAAAACATTACAATTTACAGTGAAAAGGGTTATTTTATATATGCGCGTTTTGTTTTCAAAACAGACAACCTTTTGTGCGTCTTTATCTATACCCTTTAATATATGTTGAAATGTCTTGAAGTCTACTATCTCACTCTCGACGTTTGCTTAACGACCATTTCATTCTTCAACCAGGCAATGCCACATCTCATGCGCATTGGGAGTCATTGGCATGATATGAAGAGAATCTAATGGATTTCATTAACAATTACAGTTGGTCATTACACCGTCCTGATTGCAATATTTTGAATTATTAGGTGTGAGACTCTCTCTCGCCAATAATATGGGATAGTACACAGTTAAAGACTATGACCTATTAATTGATGAAAAAAAGAAATTCATCTTGTACCAAAAATGATCTTGTTTTCAACGTCATAAAATTAGTTGCACCAAATTTTGTACATTTTGAATACAAAAGATGCATATATAAAATAAGTTTTTCCTATAACCTGTGGAGTTTTTTCGCTGTATCTTGTGATAAATTTTATTGTTATTCTTCCCTTCACTCACACCCACTCCGACTGTAGCTGTGACTCTGATTCCTCTGTCCATCCACAGTGAGAATCACCCACTTCCACATGCAGACACGTCACTTGTGAGAAAATGCCATTTGAGTTTACCTCTACTCGTTGAATAACATGTAATGATGTCGTGCACATCTCGATGAAAGTATATTAGAATAAATATTAATTGGATGTAATGATCCTTGTTGCTCCACTTTGCATAGTAATATATCGTATGTTTCTAATTTTCGTTATTGAATGTTTTCATTATGATGAAATAAATATGCATGAGAGCACATGAATAAATTTTCATACTTCTATTCATTTTTTGATGGTCTTTCTGTGTTTATGCTGTTTGCTATTTTTAACAGCATGATTATGTGATGTAAATCAATATTTATTTATAACATGGCTAGTTGGAAGATTCCAATGTTGACATGCTAAAAATAAAATGATCGAATTTCGTGGAACTGTGTTCTCCACCAAACAGTATAAAAAGGAATGGTAGACACTAAGAAATCATTCGCACATTATATTTGAGAAGAATAAGATGTTAATTTCACTGTTCATTCAGACTTTTGTGTTAATATTCTACTCCAACGGTCTGATTCTCACGACAAATACCAATGGTCTGGCTCTTACAACAAATGCCAATGGACTGAGCTCTACGCCGCAATTGTCGAATCATTCTGCACATATATTAGATGAGAAAAGTAAACCAAGTTTGGCTACAGCTGTTGTCAATAGCCAAGTTTTGACAATTTTCAACTATAAAGGAAATCAAGTTTATGTCTACAGTGCTTTGTCGAACGAAAATGAAAATCTCCAGACACCACTGAAGTAAGAATCAAACTGATGCTCAGCAACGAAGATGTTGAAACAGCAGCAAGAACAGCAATCGTCAGGAAATACGATCAGAGTATTTTTCAGTATTCGAGATTTTGGGATGTCGCTCCATTGATGATCGATTCATTAACGTCATATGTTGTTCGCGGAACACACTTACCCGTGGAAGGAGTATCTCCTTATAAATTAGTACATCCGAATCAGCTGGTTTTGACATTTCGATATTTCTGTTCCTCGGCAGACAATGCAAAAGTGATTGTGAAGAAGATTGTCAGCACTGATTATGATATAGAAATAGCCTTTTATTTCGCTGGTTTCAAGCAAGTAACTACTAATTTTATTTCAATCACTGCTGATCAACTTCAAGATGTTTTGAATAAAACAATAGCCGATGGCAGTAACGCTAACGCTAACTATATTCATCGAAAACAGAGTGCATCGTCTATTTCAAAATATGCGACTAACGTTAAGAAAATTATTTATTCGGAAGCCGCCGCCAACGGAAATCTATCTTTTCTCACGGCAAATTTAGAAGATTAATTCACTTCATTGATGCAACAAGGTAGGACTTTGATAGCAACTTGTTTTCTCTCTCTATTGTTCCTGTTTCGAAAATTTTTGTTTTTGCTTTTGCTTTTTCATGAATAGACATGAACAACCTTGTGGAAACAAAGCTGAACATCAATCTTTACGGAGAGCTTTGGTCATCGAATGATTTCAATCCTGATTTATTAACGAATGAAATCAATAAAATATTTATTTACAATGAAACAGAAACGAAAAGAAACAATTTCTCTGATACTTATTTCGATTTGAATAAAACATATATTAAATCATCATCCGGTACATCTACTGACCAAATAAACAATTGAAACAGAGTGGCGTGGTCAAAAATGGATACCTAAATCATTGGATGTTTATAAACTCATTGATATCGCCGATCGTCTTCAAGTGGCTGTTATTGCTAAACAACTGATCGTAGATAAGTCTAATGGAGCAATTATTCGAACTGTAAGCTTTACTCGTCAAATAGTAGTTTTGACCAGTCAATCGTCTATAATGACGGGTACAATTCAGATGTATGCAGGAAATGCAACACCTGCGTTACCATGGCTTCTGTGTGATGGTAGGACAGTTTCACGCATAACTTTCCAGCGACTCTTTGCCGTCATTGGAACTGCATATGGATTTGGTGACAACAACACAACCTTCAATGTACGTGATTTTCGCGGTCGAGTCGCTTTTGGTGTTGATCCATCTGCATTGTGCGTATCGCAACCTGAAAACTGGGTTCTGCAGGAGGACAAGTCACAATCATGGTGGACAAACTGGCGACGGTCCTATGGGTATGCGAGACACACTCACTCAATACCTAGTGGCACTACCGGCATTCGTATCGATGCTGTTGGTGACCACACACATGTGTTGACTGGTGATACGGGCTCGGTAGGTAATAATCAACAGTTCGATACAATATCACTCTATCAAACAGTACACTACATTATTTACTCAGCATAAGTTCATTTGAACTTATTTTATAGAACTTCGTATGAGGAGACTCGGCCATTCAATACTACTTTAAACTATATCAGTATGAATGTGTGCCATAAGTTAAACAAGTGTTTTTCTCTTGTCAATACTTATTTATTCATTTGTGTATTTTTCATTCATATTGAACTTCAATAAACATTCTGTAAAAATAATTGCATGTTTGTTCAGTTTTCATGAGAGGCAAGGTTTTTATTTAAACATGTTGATTGATTAGGGGAACGATGTTTGGTAGAGATATGACTTTAACTTTAGCATCAAGTTAAAGATTCATTGGAAGTTTTATTATTAAATGCAAACGTTATAGAATGATTCAATCTTTAAAATTTGACTGCTGAAGAAAAAAATACCATTGACTCTTTGGCACTGAAAATTAAAGAATACTGTAATTTTTGATTGGAAAAATGAACGTTTGCCTTTAAAATTTTATTTCATGAAAATCAAAGACCTTAAGTTCTTTTCGGGTGTGGGTATGGGTGCGGTTTCGACTTCAGAGACGCGCAACCACACTCACGCCTACATCCACACACTATCCACATCTACACCCACACCCCTAAAATTCGGACTTTTGTGTAAATAGATACAAAGACAATTCACGAGGAATTTAAAAACAGCATTCGAAGCTAAGGCTCTATTATATCAAACAGTTGCAAGAGAGAAAGCAAAGCATTTTTATAAACGAAAAGAAGATGCCACTAATGATCCTCAATTTTGTCTCGTCTAGTTTCCAAGCTGACAGATGTGAATATTGTATTGATACGAAAGGTTATCACAATGATTCACATTCAGCTTATGATGATATTATAGCTGAGACTTCTTTCTTCACTCCAAGAGGAACAAAAGTTCTTATACTTAGTATAGATAAAGAAAAAATATAGAATTAGTTCATGACAATGTCCGACCTAATACATAACCAGATACTATTAATTATTTAACAGAAAAACACATCAATATTATGCTTCATCTACTATTTTCACCAGATCCTGCGAATTTGTGACTTTTAATTAAATGATTATATCAACTGTAATTTAACTGACCAAACAAATGAAAAATTATTGATTCTTTTGATTGAATAAAACTAGATTAAAAATATTTCTTTATTTTAATGTTTCTTAACCCTAAGTAAAATACAGAAGAAAAAAGGAATTGCGAACATTATTTCGTATTAAGAAAGATTTTTGCTTTAAAATATTTATTCTAACGTTGGATTTAATTTAAAAGAACCTTTTGGAATAAATGTCGATAGAAAAACTATAATTGAAATAATTGTTGTTTGTACACCAGCAGTAAAAATAAAAGCTGGTCTTATTGTTTGTTTTGAATTATAAACAGAATCAATATATTTTCCAAGTAATGGATTTAAAATAGCATAAAGAATAATATAAGATGAATAAAGAAAAGCCATAACAGATCCTAATGATGAAACATCTTTATCTTTTAATTGTGGTTTACTTAAAGATGCTTGTATATGTGCATTTAATGAAACATCATCACCAGCTGAACCAAATCCAAATGGAATAAATGATAATGCTATAATCCAAGCATTTTTAACACTAATTGAAGATGGATTATAAAATGGTAAATACCAAACAATAAATAATAAAATCGAATCTAATCTTAACCAAACAAGTGGACTTCGAATTTTTTTAGTTAAGAAAAAAACAAATAAAGCTCCAATTAATTCTCCAAAATTTGATCCTCCAACAATAATTTGTGACCATTCAGAATTTTGAAGATATCTTTTAGCTATTTGAGGAGCAATACCATTTTCAATATAACGATGAATATAAAGTGTTAATGAATAACATGGAAATAACCAAAAATATTTTCGACTTGTAAATATTATTTTTGCTCCAATATAAACCGATTCACCAAATAGAATAAAACCTTTAATAAGAGCTTTAAAATAATTTGTTTTATGATTTTGATTATCTATTGCAAATTGTTCATCTTCAATAGTTGTTTTAGTTTCAAATGAATTAATTAATATCCAAACTATTGCTGATAAACTAAAAAGAATTGGTGTTATTAAAAATGAATAATTATTTCCAAGACGTGGAATTAAAATGAGACCAGTTATTAATGCTCCAGAAACTCCAGCTATTTCATAAAAAACATGAACTAAAGCATCCATTCTTTGTAATTTTTCTTCATCACTTCCAACAATATCACCAGGAATTATTCGTCGAATTAATTCAACCATTCCATAAGCAATACCTGTTATACAATAAATTGGAATAATTACATTTGTTGGATATTTTCCATAATAACTAAAATCATTTTCATGCATTGCTTGAAAATTTGATGGTTTTATTTTTCCTCCAGTTGCTGCATCAATAATCATAAGTAATGCTGTAAATAATGCAAAACTAAATATTGATATTGATAAAACAGTTCGTGTTGGCCAACGTTTTATTAATGGAGCTATTAAAATCGATCCAATACATTGACATGCTTGATTAAGACCAACTAATAAACCAACTTTTTCAAATGTTCGAGCTACATTAGCATTATTAAATGCATCTCGATCATAACGATTTGCAGCTAAACTTACGATTGATCCATTAAATGCTTCTAATCCAAATTTATATAACATTATTCCAAGTATATAAATAAATATATTTCGTTTCTCTTTAGAAGAAAATAAATTCCAAATACTTTTATTTTCATTTTGTTTATTATTAGTATTTTCTTTTTCACTAAAATAAAACAATTTAAACGAAAAATTTCCTATCAATTCGATTATTTCATATTAATTTCAATTCATTTTTCGTGAAACGAAATAAAATAGTTGACAAATAGAATTCATCTTTAGCCAGCTCGAAATAATATTTGTTTAATAAAATAATTTAAAAAAAAAAATCAAAATTTGTCGAAAATTTAATTGATAAAAATCTTATTGTATTATTTTTCGATATCTACTGAAGTGGATGTATGCGGCATTGAGTATCAAGATACGACCTACCCCGATAGTCTTACCCTAGTGTCTGCACTCAGGAGATATACCGGGTGTTCCAAAAGTTTTGCAACATTTTGTATTTTGCATTTATCTCGACTTGAGAAAATGATAAAATCTTGATGTTTTTCTTAAAAGATGCACCGTGAAAAGCTCTACAAAAACTGTATAAAGAAATCTCTATTAACTGGTTCTGATGGTTTTCCGATGCTTAATACGAACAACCTACATGGTGGCGNTTGTAGCTCGTAAAATTCTCTATCGAATGGTACATAATAGTTGGAGTTTTATTTTGAGTATGATAGGAAAAGCTTTTTACGAAAGCGGGGATGGGTCGATTTTCGCATAGGAAGCCATAGGAAAAAATGAGTATTTTTGCAATAACTCAGGAATGGTTTGACCAATTCTTCTCACCTTTGAACTTGACCGAGACATTGTTAAGACTGAACTGTATAGAAAATTTCATCGCGATTGGACTCTCCTTTCAAAAGTTATCGTGTAAACGGCCGGCCGGTCGGACGGACACACTGACCGATTCTAGAGTGTACTCACTTTTTGAATACACAAAAAAGAATCACTAAATAGAACAAGATAAAAATACTATACCTATTCTTGACTTTTAAGGAAGGACATATTATTATATATGTTTTAATTATTAACTAATTCATTTTAATTTTTCTCTTTCTTTATTATGATATTTTATATCGAAAATCTAGTACAGCAATCATAATTCGGCTCCAGAAATTCATGAAGACGAATCCTTTTAGGCTTATTTTGAGACGTTGTTGTGAATGCATTATGAGTTCAAACAAAGGTTATCAGTTCGAATAGTTTCTTCATAAGGTTAGTTTGATAGAATTAGTCGAATATTTTCATTTTTTATTATTCTCAAGTTGTTATTATTATTTCGTTCACATTGATAAAAATAAATACAATACAACAGAATATTTCAAAAGAAAATATTGATTATTTGAAGTTGAAATATTAAGAGGATGATATATCTTGTTTAAGGTATTGTTCTTTTCGAATGATTTTATCTATATTTAAAAATACTTTCATTTTTTTCCAAAATAAAATTTAAATGAATCGTTTTTATTATCTATATTCATTGAATTTGTTTTTTTCTGAAACTAAAATATAAATATAAATTCAGAACGATAAAAAAAATGATTTATTATAATTAAAAAATAAAATTTAAGTTTTAGCACTTTTTATTCGTAACATTTTAATAGATGATGTTGCCGGTGATGTTGTTGCACCAAGATTTGATAAAAGTTCTTCTGTTAATGGTGTTATCTTTTCAATATGTACATTAGCTGTTTGAACTCGTTTAGTTGGTGTTGTTGAATAACAACGTAAACGTGAATTTGTAAAACGTTGTTTATCACGTTGATATTGTGAATTTGATGTCATCGGACGATTACGTGCCATAAATATTTGATAAGGCGTTATTGGTCGTGATGATCCTATTGTACGTGAAGGTGGCGGTGCAATCGATGCTGATACTAAGCTAGTTGCTCCGTCATTTAAAGCAATTTGTTCAAGTTCTTCTTCAATTTCATTTAGATTTGTTCTTAATGTTTCTACTTGTTGAAAAGCATCAATTTTAAGTGAACGTTCTTGTTCAAGTTTCTTTTTTGTTTGTAATAAATTTCGTTTTACATATGTTTGTTCTAAACGCATAGCACGATTTTCACGTTCATATTCATTTGTTTTCTTTTCAAGTTCATGATCTCTTAATACTAATTGATTACTTTGTTCTTGCATCCAACGTAATCTTGTTTCAATAATTTGTTTTTGATTTAATGCTTGACGTAAATCATCATCACGTTCAAGATTAGCTTTATTTTCAGATTTATTTTCTGTTTCGAATATTTTTTTATAATGACTTTCATTTGTTAATATACGTTTTCGTAAATAATTATTTGCTTTTTTTAATGTTTGAACTTCTTCAACTTGTTGTGTTGTTTTATAAACATATCGTTTTTGATAACGATCTAATTCATATTTTAATTGTCCAACAATTTTTTCTAATTCAAATTGTTCTTTATGCCATTCACATTCACGTTGATATGCTTCATTAGTTTGTTTTTCTTGATTTAGATGAATTTCATCTTGTAAATTATGTATAAGTTTTGTTTGTTCAATATTTTGTTGATCAATTATTGATTTAGCATCTGATGTTAATTTTGCATGTGCCATTTTATAAATTTCTGTACGTATTTCTTTAATTATTGTTATTGTACTATTATATAATTGTTCACGATATTGTTCAAATCGTGTACGAAGTAATAAATTTGTACTTAATAATTGTTCATTTATTGATTGAAAACGATCACGTATTTTATTTAATTCTTTATCAAAACGAAGTTGTTTATCATTTTTTAATTGAGCATTTACTAAACGAAGATGTATTAATTCAGTTATTAAATCAAAATAAGTTGATAATATTAATAATTGTGATTCAAGTTCAATAGTAAATTGTTGTTCTTGAACTTGTGAACGTAAAGATTTTATTTCATTTTCACGTAAACCAATTAATTGACGAGCATTATGAAGAAGACTTTCATAATAAAAACTATAATTTGTATAATTATCACGTTCACGTTGCATCATACGATTACCGATTTCTTTTAAACATAATTCTAAATCACTTCGACGTATACAATAAAAATCTGAAGTTCGAGGTGAATTTGTAACAGTTGATGAAATTATTGTACTATCATTATCTCCTGAGAAAAGAAAAAAAAAACAAATAAAAATCTAAATCAAACCAAGTAAACATCATATCAATTGCATGACAATAGATCATTTATCGTATTGTCATCATAGGCGACCGAGTCACGAGACTTGAGTAGACTCAAACATTTGTTTCTTGTTTCATTAGATTAATGAAGTTCATCGAAATTCTTATAGAAACAGTGAAATTTTTTTTATTGCCTTCAGTCATAAGTAGTAACGTTTGACAATGATGTCACGTAGTGTTGTTTTTTTCTTCTAATAAGTAAGAAAGAATTGTACGGAAAACTCGAGTTAGATAAATAAAAAGCTGTTCGAAAATTTGATTCATCTCTTCAATAGCTAAGTTTTGTACTGATTCACTATTATTCTGATTAGTCACACGTCTTTTGATACAAGTTGCAAATTTCTCCTGAATCGTATTAACTTCATACAGTGAAAAATATGAGTTGGAAATAAGAAGCAGTAACTATCTTTTATCTAAATAAGATAAAAAAATTCGTTCGTTTTCTATGTATTCTTAACTTTTTCTATGGAGATTTTATAGACGATGTTAAACCTATCCTAGATACAAGACGTTCTGCCGCTTGTGGCTGTGGACACACTGCTCACGATATATATCCACTGACAAACGATGAATATATGATAATTCTAGGATGATTTTAGATTTGGAACCGATGAATTCAATTTGAAATGATACCATATTGAGATTCTCAAGTTTGATTTGTTTTTTTTTTATCAAAATAAGGTTTTTTCAAAAAATAGTTGAATTACATAAAAGTTGACTAAATCATAGGAAATAAGCTTCGCCCGAATGAGAAAATCAAACTCGAGAAATGTTAATCCAGACGCGTATGTCTATCGAGATCAATGTAGTGCTTTACCTACGACTCACTGACCACCATCACCGTTACATTATTGATCTAGCATCTAGATCTGAGATTGTTTTTTTTTTTATTATTTTTGTTCAACAGTCGATTTTCGATTAACTTTGTTTCAAGAGAAAATATTCAAAGTGATCTATAGATTGATGAAGTAGTGAAAATGTTATTTAAAAATAATATAAAATACCACTACATCACTGAGCGAGTTGTGAACAACTTTATATTTATGATGATTTCTCTGATCACATGCATCATAATTTTCATGAATTAGATAATTACTCAACTCATTGTACGATATCATTCTCATCCTTTCTTCTTTTTTATATTTGAATCTTATGGTATGCCTTCCGTAAAGTTAATGTATCTTGATCAATAGACGCCGAAGAGAGTTGGAAGACCTTTCATTTTATAGAAAATTGTTTGCTCTATTATTCTAGATAACTCAAACAGAATTGTCATTGTAAATCCTAAGGCTTGAATAACTCAGTGCTTGTTTTTTTAGAAAATCTTTATTCGAGAAATTAGTAATGGTTTTTATCTCAAGTAAACTTTTGTTGGACATAAAATTCTCTTCTCAAATCATTATTTTTACTTTGTTTAGCGTTTAAAGCAGCAGAAAAAAGTTTTCATAGATTCTTATATATTGACTTATTACTTTAATTTTTGGTCTAAAATTATATAAGCAGTCAAAAAAAATTCTCCTAACTAAATACATAAGTCTACGTTTGTGTCTATTTTCATTTTGATTACATTTAATAGTAAATAAATCAAAAAAATTAGAGATTAATAAATCGATTCATAAATTTTTTTATATAATTATTAAACAAATTTTTTTTTCTTACCAGCTTCTTCAATCATAGTAGTCGAATTTAATGTTGATTGTTCATCTTTACATTCATAATGTGATAATAATTTTGCAAAATCATCTAATATATGTGGTCGTAATACAGAAAAATTTTCTGTAAATTGTTGTTTTTTCCATAAATCTGTTGGAAGACTATTTTCTTCTCGAAGTCGTTCAGATAAAACTAATGTTCGTTCTCGTTTAAAACGTTTTAATGTATCATTCATCATAAATTTTCCTTCAAGTTCAACTAATATTCTCATTATTAATGCTTGTTTACATTCATATTCAGTTAGATTTGGTGGTAATTGTCCTGTAAGTAGAGCTGCTGGAAAATCATTATAAAAATTACTATATCCAACAGTTGTTGCTAATTGTCTTAAAACAGGACTACGAATTTCATCTCGAAAATTAGAAAATGCTTCATCAAATGTTTTTAATGTATCTATTGAAAGTACATTTAATTTAGTTGTATTCCAAGCATTTCGAACGAGTTCAAGACGAATACATTCAACAATATAAAGTTCAAGACGTATATATTTGGAAAGATGATCACCTGTAGCTATCTAAATATATGAATAAATATTTCGAAAAAACAAAAGGCTTAATATCAAAATGATAATATGAAGAAGAAAATGATTGATTTTAAGATTTTAATGCGTTATTATCCAATTTCTTATTAACAAAGTTCTACATGTTTATATCTTGTAACAGATAGAGAATTCCGATTATAATCTTGAGGCGTCCTGAGAAGTCATTATTGTCTCACGAGGGAACATTCCCAAGTGATCCGCTCCGTTTTGATTCATTCATACCTCATTTCATAGAGTGTATTGAGATAAGAAAAAGCTTAAAAGGATTCGTGCCCATGGTCTCCCGGTGAAGATTTATGGTCATTTTACTGAAATTTTTACTGTGAGCCAGACATTTCGGGAAAAACTAAAATGAAGAATTTCGACCTAAAATTTTACCTATAGATAGATTTAATAGTCATTAGATAGTTCTGAAAGTTTCAACGACAACGAACATGTCTTTCTCGAGATATTCAATGTCCAACTAAACCTCATTATTGTGCCCTCCTGTGGTAAACAGCTGGTTTTTTGAAAATTGAATAACTTGAGAAAGGCATGTTCGTTTTCGTTGAAACTTTCACAATTATCTAATGACTATTAAATCTATCTATAGGTAAAATTTCAGATCGAAATTCTTCATTTTGGTTTTTCCCTAAATGCCTGGCTCACAATAAAAATTTCAGTAAAACGGTCATAACTCTTCACCAGTAGACCATGAGCGCGAATTCTTTTAGGCTTTTTCTTATCTCAATATACTGTTTCGAATGAGATGTGAATGAGTCAAAACGCAGCGGATCACTTGGGAATGTTCCCTCGTCAGATGATTTCAGCATGATTCTACTCTCTATTGATGACTAAGATCGTTAAATGATTGAATTGACATCAAGTTTTTATTTATGATTGAAATAATACTGAGCTCTTAAATAAAGGATGAAAAGTCTTGAAGTTTGTTTTCTATACTGAAATATTTTCGTCTGCAAAAAAAAAAATTCTATGTTTTGATCTTGTAGCTCCTTCATGTAAACACCAACTAAGTGTTGATTAGTTCTTGAGAGCAACGTTCAATTTACTCTATTTTTGACCAAAATATGAAGGGAAAGAAATCAAGTTTAGATACTTTATCACTAATAGTGAAATTTTTTGCGACTATTACTGTAATAAACTTCAATGTTAGAATGTAACAATAATATGTGGAATATGGTTATGAAAATTATTCGTACAATAAAGGTTAATAGAATTCTAAAAATATCGTTCAATGATATTATGAATGAATGTTTTCATTTCGAATTATTTTTTAGAATAACATTATTCTAGATATCTTATGTATCTTCTATGATTCTCTTCAATTCATATGTAAAACTTTTTATTTCTTAGTTCGAAGGAATAATCAAATTCTTATTATCTATTGTTACTATTTTAATGTGAACAGTTACTATGATAAAAAGATTTTATTATAGATTTATAATTGTCTATGTATACCTCTTTTTGTCGTAGAACAGTTCCAATATTATTCATTGCTGTTTTTTGTTTAATAATTTCATCAATATTTTGTAACATAACATGAGTTGAAATTAATTCTGCATTAGCCATTGTTAATTCAGATGATTTTAAACCAATTAAACATAAATGTATAAGATCCATTAAAGTATATTTTGGCCACCAAAGTCTTTTAGTATTTATATTATATTGATATTCATGTATTGTCCATGGATAAAAATGTTTTGCTGATGTTTGAACATTTAATAATGGATTTGGTAAAAATGAATAAATAGGTCGTAAATGATCATAATCATTTAAAAATTGTTTTAAAATTGGTTTTGAACGTGAATAAATAAGATTAAATGCTAATTGATTTTTTCCAATAAGAAAACAATTTGGTATAAGACATGATATAGAATAATAAATTTGAAATATAGATAAACGTCTTTTTGTTTCTAATAAATCTGCTATTGTTGATAATGATAATGATGATGATAAATCAATTTCACGTTGAATTTCATGTAATTCAGATGCTAATTCTCCACTTTGATCAAATGTTGATAAATCATTAGCACGATCATTAACTAAACATAAAAAAAAAATTATTTAAATTTTAATATCCTAAAAATATAAAAAACAAAACAAAAATTCGTTTTATTTTTTTTACATCTTTGATCAGCATTTGCTGTTGCATTATTTAATTGTGCATAAGCAACAACAATATGAATAAGATCATTAAGAGATGATACAATACGTAAAACATTTCGTAAGCGTTGTTGTAATTCATCAAAATTAAGTTTAGCATGTTTAAATATTGTTAATTGTTCAATAAATGATGGTATATACCAAATATTAGCAAGATCTTTACCATTTTCATTGATAATCATTTTTGGTCGATGTTGATAACCATTTGTAGTTAATGTATTTGTTAAAACAGGTGATGAAGTAGCTGAATCAATTTGATCATTTAATGATGATACAATTGTTGTTGTTGGTAATGGTGGTGGAATTGGTTTAGACCATATAAAATGTGTTCGACTTGTTAATGGAAATTGATTTATAAGATAAGTTAAACTTAAATATGATTGTATTATTTGTAAACGTATAAGTATAAGTACATTACGTTGATGTACACGATCAATAAAATTATTTAATAATGAACGTTTTAATTTTTCAACTTCACGTGGTTGTTGATATTGTAATGGTTTTAAATCACGTTTACGAAGAAATTCATTAAGAATACGATCACGACATGGTGTTTTTTCAAATTGAATTGATACAAAATAATTATCACGAAAAAGTTTTCGACGAGCATTTTCATAAAGAACATTATTAAGAAGTGTATTCGGTTGATCAGGTGGTTTTATAGTACCTAGAATACATATTATCATTTGAATATTTTGTGAAATATAATTTTAAAAAACGTATATTAAAGTTTTGTTATCAGAAAATTTTCACATCCAAATCCGGGACCAAATTGATGGGCTCTAACTGTGGTAGACGAAATTATAGGGACGTCGCAGATTGTATATGAGTAACTTCTCTTTTTCATATATAATCTACTTTTTTTATTACATTTTATAACAGTTTTTCTATTGATTGAACTAAGCAAATATATATTCTATTACATTATAAATTTATTCTGATTAAAAAAACGTCTTGTGTTTTTCTAAATATCGAAAGAAAAATGTTTGTTTGCTTTTGACTTGATCTGTACGAAATTTTAGAATTTTGAAAATAAAAAACGTAAAGATGTAGTGATCGAGAGCGGAAAAGAACAAAGCTCTTCGAAACTCGATCCCTTTCAAATTCTATTCACCTCACAATGATATTGTCTGTTTATTTTGAAGATAAATAGTGTTTCAAAATCCGATTTCTGTTCAAAGTCACCATGAAATTGTAAAAAAAATGGGCAGAAAGTCGAAACCTTCTAATCGAGAATTCTGAATTGAATACATCAAAGCTCTAGTTTGCCAGTATTATATTATTATCTCTATATTGTAAACAACTTTTCAATCTATTAGACAATGCTTTTATACTTTCTCTTCTATATCAAATTACAAAATTTATTTAAAACTTATCATATAATCTAACTATTTTTGTTTTTTTTTTATTTCTGATAGTAATGAATGATAAAATTACCTGAATTTTGTCGTTTTCCTATTGGTGGAGTTTTTGTTTGTTCTGAACCAGTATCTACTTTAATACTTTGTAATTGTTGTGTAATACATACAATAGCTACTCGATGTTGAAGAATAGCTGTATAAACAAAATGATTATGCATAATTTGTAATCTTAATGCAATTTTTAAATTATTAATAACATCATCAGCATCATTAATTAATGTTAACCATTGATCTTTTTGTCTAAAACTAATTCGTCCAATAGAACTTTCATCAAGTTCTTGTACAGCTAATAATAAATGTTTTTGTCCAGTTATTTTATCTAAACGACCATCAGCTATATGACTTGGTTCATTATCATATTCATTATCTGTATTTGGTAAATTTCTTGGTTGTGCAAATTCAAATTGTACATAACGTAAAAATAAATGTGAATGATCAATTGACATAATATCAAGTTGTTGTTTATAAATTTTAGTTAATAATTCACATTCACTTGCTGAACGTATTAAACGATAACGTAATGTTAATAATTCAATTAAATTTGTATTTAATTTAATAAATTTTTCATATTGTTCTTTTTTTGTTGTTCGAGCTTCATCAATTTGTTTTAAAATTTCATATGCAAATTTTCCCATCATTGTTGGATGATCACTATATAATGTATTAAATATATCACGTTGTTGATTTGATGAAAACATTGCACCTGGTTGATCAAGTTGTTTATATGTTAAATAAATTTCATCAATATATTCAAGTTCATAAAGAATTTTTTCTGTTAATGAAAGATTTGTTTGACGTTGTAATTGTTCAAATTCAATAAGTTCATTAAATGTTTGTTTTAATAAATATGGTAAACGTGTTAATGATGATAAAGATTCAAGAAATTCAAATAAATGATAACTATGAATTTTTGATACACTTAAATAAATTGGTGGTGATGATTGTAAACGTGTTGCAGAAAAATATGAACCATAATCTGTTGAATCAAAAAGATTTTCAGTTATTTGACGCATATAAATTATATGTCGATCAATATATTCACGTATTAAAGATAAATATTGATTAAGTAAATGAATTTCTAATGAATATGAATGAGAAAAATAATTATCATTTCGAAAATCAATACGTGGACGACGAGCTATAATATCAATTATTGTTTGACCTATAAGATGACGTTCATCATGATCAAATGTATGTTGATAAATTTCATAAAAACAATCAATTAATTTACGTTTATATTGTAAATAATTAATTTCATATTCCCATAAATTATAAAGTATTTCAAAACGATCAATTTTTCGTTGAAAATCATTATCTTTTTCATATTTTAAAGAAGCTTTTTCAATAAAATATGAACCTATACAAATCATTTCTTGTTCAAGTTCATTAACATCATTAAATGCACAATCATATATTATATGTAAACCAGTTGAATCTTTTATATGTACTATTGAACCATCATTATCAATTGTTGTTTCATATGCATAATCATCAACATTATCAATATGTTCACCTGATTGCATATAATTTAATATATCAAATGTACATTGATGTGGTGTATCAAATAAATATGTATGTGGTATATAATGACTAAAACGTTGATCAATAGAATGAAATTCTTTACCTTTTGATGTCATTGTTAAACGTTGTTCATATATAGTTAATGTTCGTTGTATTGAACGTAAATAATTAAATTCATGTAAACAACGATCACGTAATGTACGTATACGAAGTAATCGAAGTGTTATATACGATAATTGTAAACCATAAGATTCAGATGCATCATTATTTTCTGTATCACTATCACGATCTTGACCTATTGTATCATCAAGACCAAGTTTTTGTAATGTTTCCAAATAATTAAATTCATCACGTTTCATATAACGATCAGAACGATTAGATGTATCACGAAGATCATAAGTATCTTAAGTAAATAAAGATATAAAATAGAAGATTATTAAGATATTTATAATGGTTTTCTGTTAAGCGAGTTCGGAAGGTTTACAAATAGTTGTTAGTTACTCATCCAAGATTATTCCATGCCTGATGATATTGACGTCATTAACATAGCTACTTAACCATGATAGAATAGAATTTTAAATTAAATATAGTGTATATTGTTTTTTCAAAAACAATCATTCGATCAGTTGTATATCCCCCCAGTCATGAAAAACTGAAAGGCTTGTTTCTTTGATTTTCCTATGATGGAACATCTTTTAGGTTCCATATTTATACCACAGATAGACCTTGCATTACTCTATCTGCTGGCAAAGTTTCAACCATATACATTGAGTATTGGCGGAGAAAACGAAAAATCAATCTTACACACTCATATGCAGTTGCGCCGAACACTTGTAACTATGCTTATGTTTTTTATATTTCTTGTTTGATTCTGACTTGGTAAGTATTGATTAGTTATCTTCTAATCATCATTTACGAATNGCTGTATTCGGTCCCATATCCTATTGGTTTGGCAACGCGCAATATAAATCAAGATTTTAAATGGTAGATTTCACAGTATAATTTTGATATTCAGACAGTCTAGGATGATTGATTTTTATGATTCACTTTTTGAAGTACACATAACTCTCGGATTTAAATCCGAAGTTTCCGCATTTTTTTTTATTCTGATCCTAACAGGAAAATAAAACCTATTGTTCCCAATAAATAAATGTTGATCCTGGTTCTGACTAAGAAAACAATTTTGTCCGAGTTCTGAAATATTGTCTAGTTTGTTTAGCATAAAAACAAGTTAATTAATTATTTAAAAACTTTCTTTTTTGAAAAATCCTTTGAGCTAAGGTATTGATATTAAAAAGCCTAGAAGAGTTCAATTTGGAGTTCTTTCAAACGAACAGAATTAGAAAATTTTGAAGAATCAGTTACTTACTGTACGACATCCTCGCTCTTAAGGTGAAATCAACATTTGCCACAGCACAGTTTTCATAATACGAAATTGATCATTTTGTTATTTTTAGTAAAGATTGTTAAGACTGACTCAACAGATAGTTTTAATCTTCATTGAAGAACGTTTCGAACTCTATGTAAAAGGTAAAGGAATCTATCTTATACAGAGTTAAGAAAAAAATCAATGACGATTTCTTCCTTCGAAAAGTTCCATTGTAAAAGTAGAACAAAACTCATGTCAAATTAAACTTCTCGAATAAATCTCTTTTCATCATATTCATTTTACCTGTTGTGATAATTGAAATGTACAATCAAGAAATTGAAGAAAAACTGGTGATCGTTCCGAATCACTTTTATCTCCATGACCAATACGCTAAACAAAACAAAACAAAATTTTTTTTTTAAAATAAAAGTCAATTTCTTAAGTATTATTTTTGTTTTCTTACTAAAAAAAATTTATGACCAAAACTAAGCCATTCTTTTTCTATTAAAATCATATAACCATTTAATGTTCTATAATGTGCATCAAGCATTAACATAGCTAATGAAGTCAACTAGATAAAGATTAAAATTTAAAAATAAAAATTATTAAATAAAAACAAACTAAAACGTTTACTTGTGCTGTTCGATCCCATCCATCTGAACAATGAACTAATACTGAACGTTTTTCATTATGAACCAATGAAACTAATCGAATAGCAGCAGTTAAAACAGCCTATAAATAATATTATCATTATTTTTTTGTTTTTAATAAAAATTTTCAAATTTCTTTTTCTATACTCGAATATGAAATAACCAATTAGAATTTTCTAAATCACTAAGCCATGTTTTATCTTCATGTGCAGCATTACGTACAGCAGCATGTAATTTTCTTAAACTAAAAACAAAACTAAATTTACATTAAATTCTTCATTCTTTCTAATTAACCTTTCTCTCATAACATGAATATTTTGTATATTATGAAATTCAAGTTCACAATTTGGATAATCTTCATAACCACCACCATTAGCCATATTTGCCATAGCATTAACTTTCGGACGTGCATCAAGTATAACTAATTTAAAACCTTGATTTACATTAGCATCAGCTATTTTACGTAATAATTCAATATCATCTTCACACGTTCGATTAGCTAAACCAGTCAATGGTTGACTTGATCGTGTTATAGTTGCATAAGTTTCACGAGAATACCAACTAAGTACCTGAAAAAAAACAAGATTTAATAGAAGAAAACAATGAACATAGGTTTTTTTTTTGTTTGCTATATACCGGAATACGATTTCGACTACGAAAATCAGCAACACGTTGTAATCTTGATATATCAAAACTGGACGGAAGAACAAGTATATCTGGATATGTATCGCATAAAGCATAATTTTTATTTATTTCAGCATTTATTGTCCAATGTGGATCAGAATTTTGTTGAATACCCTTTAAAAAAGAATTCAATTTAAATAATGTTTATAATAAGTTCTTTTTTTTTTTGTCTTGCAGGAAACAAAAAACTAGTTTCGAGTCAAGGTAATGATAGTGACAAATAAAAAAAAAAAAAAAAACAAACGTACATCCTTACTAACCGTAAGCTATGAATTTAATCACAAAAAAGAAACAAATGAAAACAATAGTTCTTTTTTTATTGATAGTACTTACCATTCTTGTATAATCTTTCATTTTATTGTACAATAGCCAACCGTCATCAATTGTATTTTGATAAATTTTTTTCTTATAATCCAAGGCAAAGAATGACTAAATAAAATATTTAAAAATTAAATAACGATATAATTTTAATATTAAATAAATCTTACGAGAGAAACTCTTTAAGTATTAAATCGATTTCAAACTTTGTACGAACAAATTTCTTAATCAGATTAGTTTATTGTGAAATTAGTATTTCCTTTCTGAAGATTGTAAGTTTACTTTTACATATGAGAAACTTTCGAATATTTCACTTATCCAATGAGCTAATCTTATTGAGAACTTTGTTCGTACAAATTTTGAAGTCAATTTTTCATATGAAACACAGTTTTTTTGTTGAAAAACTCATCTTAAGAACGAAGGCTTGGAAAACAAAACTTTTCTAATATTCATCAAATGAATATCGCCTTGATCGAAAAGCGATTTGACACTTTGAGATTAGGGTGAATCCGCCGGGTTTCAACCACTTTGTAGAAATTTTTTTTTTACGATTTTGATATTCTAGTTAGACGGGGCATAGTCGAAAACGGTCTGGGGTAACAATTAAAATCTTTTTGAACACATAAAGTATGGGGATCCACATTATTTTTTAGGAACCCTTCACACATGTATGTATCTACGAAGTAATTTTCATAATCATACTTTCTANGAAAAAGACGTGCCCGCTCCTCCTCTTTCGATTGGTGAAAACCGCAGGTAGCTAGGTATTGCGGTTGTCGAGTTATTGAGCTTACACTCACCCCTCTTTTATTCTGGCGCGGACATTAGTGGTGTTGTACTACCATACTAATATATTCGATATCTTAACTAAAAATGTTTCGATCCAGCTCAAATTTACATCAGTATCAAGATATTCAGTACTGATTAAGATTACAGAGTTTGAAGATATGAATTTGTTTGGCATACCGATTAATTATTAGAAAACAACAGGTGAGCTTGTCCAATGTCAGTACAATCATTGATGCTTTAGTTTATAAGAATTAGAAGAATAAATCCGTTTACTTTTCACTATGAAGTATATAGTACTAGTATACTAAACTTAATCTTCGTAAATATATTGATATCTTATATGCATATTTTCAATGATCGAAGTAGTCTTCTTTTTGTTTGAATAAATCATTTGTACAGAATTGTTGATGGTCGAAATCGGTAAACAGAGGTAATTGTGTACTGATGTGATTGAAAAAAATTTGACCTGAATCGGAGCATGTTTAGTCAAGATATCGAATATATTAGTACAGTAGTGCAAAAAAACTAGTAATAGTAATAATCATATATTTCTGCTCAAGAAGCTTGGAAAACCAAACCTAAGTAGGGTTTTTCTAAGTAGCTCATTCAGATCTATCGTGTGAGCATTTACTCGATCAAAGAGCGATTCGACAGTTGGAGACATTTCTTCGTTAGTTTTTTGTATTGTTTTAAGTCTTGGATGTTTTTTCTTTTCATAACACAAATATATGTTAAAGATAAAACTCAATCAATCATGCTGTTTAGCTTTTTGTAAAAATACAATCAGCACAATTTTGATATGCAAAATGTATCATAAACAATACTATGACAAAAAAAATTGAAAGATGTCTGCTTCGGTTCATTCATATAGACTGTTTTTTTAGTTACTGATAAGAATTTATTCACATCTTTTTTCATATAGATAATGTAGACAAATACTCTTATTATGTTTTATTTTTGATGCCACTAGAGAAATTTTGCTTATTTTCAATCAAGAAAAAAGAAAACTTTGTAAGTGACATTAAATTTTCAAACCTGGACACTATTTTTTCCAAGAAAGTTGTCGATTTAGCGTCTAAAAGTTTTTCATTATCTGTTTTAATTACCAGACATGAAGTTTAATATTTAAACAAACTAATCATAAAAATTAACTGTAGTTGCATCAATGTCGTGTCATCCGTAAAGCTTCCGCTAATCTTATTCTTGTACTAATATCTTCAATGAACATAGAATATTGTTTTCAAGTGCTACATTTACATTTTTCTTATTCGACAACAGTAAAACTTAATAGCATTATTCGTTTACATTATAACTATGGGAAAAAGAAACTCTGAACAAACTTCAGTCAGTTACTAATTGAAAACGCAGCCCATGTCCATGAGCCGAAACGTAGATAGTTTCGTTTTTTTTTGCAGTGTCATGAATGACGAACTCTGCTTATGAAAATATATATTTTAATCATTGATGTGAGAAAAAAGCAAGTCGCTCTTTTTTTCCGCTACTTACTTCATGAATAAGAATAATATAACATTGGCCAAATGCCAAAATTACATGAAAGAACTTGAAAAAGAAAATAAATAGTCAATCAGCCAATACACAACGAGCGAAACATCGCGCCATGCACATTCATTAAGAGGTATATATTTACACGTGTGCATTATTGAGTTGCAGTACATATTATATATTCTTGTTGCTATTTCAGTTTGTGCATCTTCGATTTACATTTATTTTAAAATCAACATATTGTATTATTAAACACATTGAGATTTTTATGTTATTTCAAAATCTATTTGATAATATCAAGTAAAGTATTGCGTTTAATATTTGAATTTTATTCAAATAAATCTATCAGTGAGATGTTTCATATGTGTAGTCTTTGAAAGAATCAATTGAAAGAGTATAATAACTCGTGGAATAGTAAATAATATAGAATTTATATGAGTGAATCTCTTTTTATTATATTCTTGCTAACTGTCTAATACAATAAATGTAAAAAACACTTGAATATTTATTTAATTTTTCAAGATTTTTTAGATTTTCCCATAAAAAAATATGTATATCAACAAATTTCAATTCTAAACTAATGATAAATACAATGTTTAGGAAGAAAAATTAAATATTTACTGAATGAAAACCCCAGTGCAATACCAACTGTGAGTCAAGTAAGTGAATTCATATATTTCTTTAATAGAATAATTTTTAGTTTCTACACAATTTTAGGTTTATTTTATAAAAATTCGACATATAGGTTGATTAATGTGAAAATTAATTTCATTATTAAGATTTAAAAGACAAAACAGATTTAATTTAATCTAAATATTCTCTCGATATTTCGTTCAAATTTTTTTTTCTTTTCTTTTTCTCTCATATTTTCAAACCGAATAAAAAAAACTAAAGATTAAAGTAAGAAATCACATCACAATTTCACCGGTTTAACTTCTTTACGTATTTATGTAGTCTATTTTTCTTAATCATCGACATTTCATCAAAGTTTTTATTAAAATCTTGAAAAATGGTACCAATTCTATTAATAATTATTGATATGATCTAAAATTATTTATGAATGAATACAGTTGTTTTTCTTTTCACTTAATATTAAGATGGAATAAATCGAATATACATCAATTCTTATTATTGAATTAATTCATTTAAGTTAAAATGTTTATAAAAGACATGTGCACTTGATTATTAATACTCATAAGAATAAGAAGTAAACTCAAGGATTTCGATTAGCTTTTTAAGAATGGAAAAGTTTATATTTAAGCAGAATTGAAACAAAAAAAGAATTTTTTATCTTATCGGTAGCAATCTATAAACATAAAAATTGTTTATTCGATCATTATATAAATTTAATAGAACTTGTAATGAAAATAATTATGCTTTAAAAAAACTAGTTTTGTACTGCTTGATTGATCCGAATCAATCAATGTTAAATATTGTTTCGAGCATATATATAATTGTCAATGGATTCTTTCGAAATACTCTCAGTCAAAGGAAAAGAATCCAAAACCGTAAATTATTTATTCATATTTTCAGCAGACCTTTTATTAAAGATTTAGCTTCATCGATGCTGAAAACTTTCAGTAAAATTTTGCCAGTTATATGGAAAAAATGCTTTTCTCGAAGCTGATATTCAGTTAAATGAGCTTGACATATCTCTATTTATGATAGTAATGACACAGGATGCATCGATTATAACATATATTTTTATTTTATGTTCCTCCGCTAGCTTTTCTTGTCTATTTTTGTCTTACAAATAAATGACATAAATGCTTTTGTGTATCAACTGATGAAATGTGTTCCTTTGAAGCATTGGGTTCTTTTTTCAAGGGAAAATATATCGAAAAATAAAGGAGAGTGAATAGAGAGCTTGGAAGATGTCATACAATAAACGTCATCTATTTTTTCTCTTTCTGATTGTTCTGTTTAAGTTGTCTTGTTTATTGCGATTTTTGTTTTTTTTATGTATTTTGTACCGTGTCTTTTTTTTCTTTCTTCTTCTTTTTTCTTTACGTAGGATATTATTGTGTCGATGAATTTTATTCATTCTGCAATAATACACGTACTTACCTAAATCATTCCATATTTCTTACCTCGTTCACTTATTCTACCTTTTTCTTCATTATTTCACATCGTCTAATTCTATCTCTCTTTGCTTGTTCATTATTATTCAATACATTGGTAGATTTTTGTTTATCTTCTGTTACTTCACATTATTTCCTTGGATTACGCCTAGTTACATCTCAAGTGTGATTACATCCCATATAAATTTTACTGACATTAACCATTCTCCAACTCAGAGGTAACATTTATTTTTATTAAAAAATTTCTAATATTAATTATATTTACTATTTATGGGACAATGACAGTTTATTAGCTAAATTAGTACATAACTTAGTCAATGATTAGATAAGTTAGTAATTAAAACATGATACTCTTTTCATGTATAGACGATCAACAACATAAGTTAGCGTCACAGATTTTTGTTTTTCTTTGTTGATGTCTCTTCAATAGTTTTTTTTTTCTGTTCGAAAGTAAGCATTAGAAATAATACATAGACAGTGATCATACAAAAACATAACATTATGCAAATAAAAAAAAAGACGAAGGTCGACAGAACGATTCTTATACTTTCTTTAATAATCATTATTGTTTTATTTCTTTCCTGATTGTACGATGATAAAACGTTTAAGTTGACTAGCAATAATATGACAACGATAAGAAAAGAA